ATAGATATAGATATAGATATAGATATAGATATAGATATAGATATAGATATAGATATAGGCGGCTTTGCCGATAATAAAGCCGAATAATACAGTTTACCTTTCAAACGGAAGAGTTAATTGGCCTTAGGTTAAGGTTGTAGTTATTAGTGGATTGCGATCCGCTACACTCGTACTGGTTTTTAGAATAGAACGAAGGTCACTGAGCTTAACCAAGCTTCCTCTAATCGAAAGAGCTACGGCAGCCCCGCTGCACTTGGTAACACTTGCAGCCAATCTACACCTTTGTCTTTACGACTTACCCTCTGTGAAGATGAAGCAGTTCTCTCATTTGTCCCAGGGCATGCAGAGCGGGCTTGAAAAGCTGATGTATCTGCTAAGCCCTGAGGGCGTGCAACACAACGCTTCGCAAGGACCCGAAAAGATCAGCGGTCCTAGAGGCGTTTTCGAGCTATGAAGATGTTCTGCTAGACCACCTAGAGCAGACTATGTTGGCGTCGACGATGGGTGACCCCCCCTCCCCCGACCAAGGCCGCTCATGGTGAGCGTTTAGACTTTCGAGGATAAGGATTGAGATAATCTCCTGCTCTGGGTAAGAGAGGTCGAGATAGTCATGGCGTCCACCATGCTCCAGACCGAGCGCGTGGCGTAGCTATCTCCAAGCTCGAGAGTCGATGGGCACTGACGTGTGACACTTCGGTTGGAACAGCGTTTTCCTCCTGGACGGAGCTGAAGCTGCAGCTTTCACGAGTGTTCTCGCCGCCTAACCAGGCATATCATGTGCGATCGCGTTGTCTTGCCGCCCGACAGAGCAAGAAGGAATTGGTGGACTCCAAGAGGTGCGTATTTCGATTGCCAGTATGGCAACAGATCCTCTTCCCGAGGCGGTCACTGTGACCTTTATGGAAGGCCTCGAACCGGTGTGGCCAGAATGGAAGTCCTCCGCGTGCACCCGTCGTCCTTTGAAGAAGCAGTGAATGTGGCATTCAATGCCGAATTCAACTTTTAGTCGGCACAACTTGGCTGGAATTTACACTCTAGCAGTTCGACGAGCGGGTCTGCTCCGATGGATCTAAGCTATTCTGAGGACGAGAAAACAGAGCTCTGAGCTGCCAAATAGCGTTCGAACACCCGACGGCGTTTTGTCTTCACCTGCGCAAGGGGAGTCAACGCTCATCGAGCCGACGTCCCCCCTTCTTACCAGTCTTCTGATTTGTCGCGGGGTTACGACAACACCCAGTAGGCGCGGGGCGCCCTACAGGGGAAGAACTGAGTTCTGTAGAGCCTCAGATAGGTAGATGTCAGCAGCGTCCATCCCCGAATAGCCCCGTGATCTTGAACATGGAACGTGTATGTAAGGCGAGATTGCTTGTCGTGGAAGCGATCGTGAAGGGCTTTATGAAGCCAATGATAATCCTAATCGATTTCGGGGCGTCGGGCAATAATTCTCGATACTCACGATAGAAGGAAACAAGCTATAGTTAAGGCGCTGAAGAGGCGGTTGGGTGACATTGTCACTGTTCGATTGGCGACAGGGGCATGTGTCACGGTGCTGAAGGTTCCTGTGAACCTCGGTGTCAAGTTTCTTCTCTTTGACAGCGTGGAACACTGCCTAGTCTTCGACTTGGATTTAAGGTACGATTTCGTTCTTGGTATGACATGGCTGGAAAACCATGGGCCATGAATCAATTGGAGGTCGAAGACCTTGGGCGCTACGCGCACTTCTCCTAGGTAAGCTTTAGTGAGTCATGAAGTCACCTCTGCTAGAAGGCAAATACGCCGCTCGCGTAGGCACAGGACCGAGACGGTCAACGTGCTGACGATCGGAGTATCCGAGTTGGTGAACACCGTAGGTGTATCGGACAGGAGGTCTGAGCATGGCTTGTGGGCTGAACGTGGAGTAGCACGTAACCCACTAAGCACTGCTCAAGTATCAAAAAAGTCGCTGCATGCCCACATGGTCGGCAAAGGGCCGAGACACCGAGGCGAGCCCCAAGTGATGCACGTGGAGTGGCACGTAATCCTTGAGCACTGCTCACGTTTTGAGGCAGTCGCTGCTTGCTACCTGTGGTATGGTCGGACGAGGTCCGAGGCATCTTGGGCAGGGTCCTTCAGATGTGCATGGAGTGGCACGTTATCCACTGGACGAAGACTGTGGTGCTAACAGCTCTTTGTCTGATGTTGTTAGTAACATCAGGACTGCGGTGGAGTAGGAAGTGGGGACACTGGACGACGCTGAGTTCGTGTTCACACTGATCTCGACGAGACGTACAACCTCTTCGAGGAGGTGACAGCGACGCTGTGTGCTAGCTGTAAGACGCCGGGTGTCAACCCTGGCCCAGGATGCGTCTACCGTAGACGATAGCGTACAGCTATACACCCTCGTCACCAATATGACGGGGGAGGAAGACGGCGACGTCACTCTCGAGGCGATTCCTGCGGTGGATGCTCTTCTTGTGCTGAATGAGATTTCCCTCGAAGAGTTCGGCATTGCCTTGAATGCAGGCGACTCAGCCAAAGTGGTCATTATACGACTGACGATCAACTCGTCATTGCTTCTGGATGAAGCTGTCCTGGTAGGCACCAAGAGGGTGCCGAGCGCACGAAGTGGATCTTTGATCCTGAAGAATCCTTCAAATCGGGACTATCCTTTGGCGACGAAATTCCAAGACGTCATCTCCAAAGACCCACTGTCGGTCCTCCCTCCAGACCGAGGTGTGCACCATGAGATCGACCTGGTTCCGGGACAAATAAACGCCAATGGCCCCTGTCCAAGGAGCAGTGCGACGTCATTGACGCCTTCTTCCGTACAAAGCACGACGCAGGAATGGTGCGTGAGATGGCCCACTATCAAATGGAACGGAAAGTGTCCGGCTGATTCATTAGAGCTGCCATCAGAATTCCGTGCGATAAAAGGGATACACGGACAAAACTCAAGGGAGTGTGCCCACTTGGCATGATTGCCCTGGCGCCGTTGCTGGCGTATCCTCACTTCCCCTGGAGAAGAGACAGGGTGCTAAGCGCAACGCGCTTCCGTAGCGTGTGGGTCTAGCCTTGTTTCAAGAACGAGAACTGTTGAATAGTTAAGCTGGCAGACGTATCCAAAAAGAGCAAGTCGGCTGGCAGCAAGAACTCGAGGTGTTGAGCGTCCATTTTGACGTCCACACTGTACTTTGAACTTTGCCAAGTTAAGCATCAGACAGCGTTCCAGTTTGACGCCTGCTTCACTGAAGCTGGCTTTTGACGCTCATGATGAAGTGCTTTCCGGTGAACTGGAAGATTGAAGAGTTCGAAAAGTTGTATAGTTTCATCTGTTTCATAGTATCAAAGTCGGCCACGACCATAATTTGCATTTTCTCAAAAAAGAGCGAAGATCTTTGCTTTTTTTGGTAATGGCAGAAAGTGAACAATTTTCGAGACTCAAGACTATGACAGTAAATACCGGTACATGTATCGTTTTTCCTAATTTATACCTGCCATGGATCTGTACGCTAATTTGCCGCTTGCTAAGGGCGCTAAGGCGTCTTCGGCCCTTGACGCAGACGGTAAGCCCAAGACTTCTCTCACGTCTGCCAACTCCGGTGCGATTATAAATTCTGCATTTTTGTTTTTAAGTAGATCGTCTTAAAGGATTACTAGTTATCTCCTTACACTCATGAAATTTCGTATTTTCTTGCCATCAAGTGTGGGCCAGTACGCCACTGATGGTGCCACAAGCAGCTAAGAACAAGAAAACTTCACAACCATCAGCAGTGGTTACCAGCGTAGGGTTTTGTGGCGACAGACGAGAACTTATAGTATCTCTGTTGGACTCATGACACTGATCGATTGTCCCTTATTTCGAGTAGAGCACGTTAATGCTGCCCACTGCATTGACAGCAGGAAGAGGCAAGAGCCCGTTGCGCTCGACTACTCCGCTGGCATTTAAGCCGGCGACTTTGGCTAGGGAAGTGACGACGGTCAACACAGCGTGTTTGAACAGGCAGGAAGAGAAAACGGCGTCTTCTCGATTTGGAGGCAGAGGGCTGGGATACGTCGCAGCCACAGAAGTAAAGGTGACGTTAGCACAACATCAGCAGAAGCAAGAGAAGGAGATGGACGTGGATCTCATCCCAGAAGTAGGTCAATTTTTTCAGGCCACGTATCGGGACGAGTACCATCCAGCACGACCAAATAGCTACGAAGTTTTTTGCAAGGATCGGGAAGACAGAAAAAAAATGGAAAAAGTAAAAAAGGAACTTAGTCGTCGCCAAAAAGAGCAGGAAAGAGAGGTATGGAGATATTAACGATAATTACGATGTATATGCATGCACAAATTGTGGGGTCTGTTGTGTTTGTAGGGCAAGCTGGAGCGTGAGCAACTGGTGAAGGATCTAGCAGAAGGTCGAGCACCAGCGATAAAGCTGCCAGCGCCTGCTGGTCGTGGACGAGGCATGACAATGCCGGCGTGGATGCGCAAGAAAATGTGTGCTATTCTTTAGTAGTCAGTACGAAGGACTTTTTTGCTAATCGTCTGTGACGCTATAGAGAAGAAAATGCTTCAGTTGTAGCATCTCAACCAGAGAGTGAGCGAGAAGATGATTGGGAGTATCAGTTGAAAACCTCAGAAAAGACTATTTCTACGATCGAGGGTCAGTTCGAAGACGCTTTGGATAATCGAGGCGGACTGGGCTGTTCGAACAGGGGCCTGGGGCTGTCATCTTCTGAACTGTCATCTACAGAAGTTTCTAAAGAAGAGTTGTCCAGTCCGAGTACTCGACTTCGTGGGAACATGTCGAGTTCTGATAATTTTGGCAGAGATATGTCTGGACATGATCACCTTCATAGACCTCTGCTGCATAAAAATGGAAATGAGATTCACCGTGAGTCTAGAAAAAATTGTCAAGATGGTTGCGATAAAAGCCACATTGTTCTTGAGACAAATTTTGGCTCCTACGACAGTCAGCGACACAATCGGTTCATAAGCAACGAAATCCATTCTTCCAGTGAAAAACGTCGAAGAGTTAGCGGCTGGGATAAAAGCTCACAAGGCCAGCCGTTGACTAGTCGAGTCGTGTTACTTCAGGTAACAAAATGGCTCATAACATTTGTTGCATCTAGCTTGTAATTTGCACTCTAGAACATGGTAGGACCAGGTGAAGTGGATGCTGAATTGCAAGACGAGGTCAAAGAGGAATGCTCGGAGACGTACGGTCCTGTTACAAAATGTTTGATTTACGAAGACACCGGAAAAGTTTCACCCGAAAAAGCAGTGCGAATATTCGTCCAATTCCATGATGCAGACGATGCGACTAAAGGTACAATGGTTCAGAAAATGCAGAGAGCATATGTCTGGGTTCATGGTATGTGGATAAATCTGATGATTGTGTTTGAGATTCAGCTTTGACAGGCTTGAATGGTCGATTTTTTGGAGGCCGCAAAGTTAAAGCCTTGTATTTTGATGAGGGCAGATTTGAGCGAATGGACCTGAATGTGCAATAGAAAATTGCACAGAGCTAGCCGTTTACTTTGAGCTAATTCAGGAATATGTTGCTTTTTGCGATTATGTCGTGCGATTTGGTCTTGGAATTGCATCATTATTTTATCACGAAAAGAGCAAGAATACTCAAATGAACAAATGGTTCGGATCAAAAGCAAGAGGTAAATTTATCATCGCTCCGCATTCGAATCGCATTTCATAGACGATGATTAGGTGTTTACTATCATACATCTATTCGCTTTTACGAATTGTTTTCCTAGTAACGCTTAAATCAGTGTCCTGCGTCATTCGTTTCTTGTTTGCTTGAGTGTAGTAAAGCTAGTTTTATTAGTGCAATCGATGCAATCACCTTAAATATTAGCCACAATACCTCAAACTGCTAAGGTTTATCTAAGGTTTTCCTTTACATTTATTTCCAAAAGTACTTCCTACGAGAAGAGACGACTTAAATTATTTTATTACTGCAAATTTGCGCTGTCTGTTTGGTTTGTGCCTTTTATAGAGGAAGCTTTGATTCAACGATTCAACGATTCAACTTTCAAATGCACGAAAAGCAAGAGCCCCTTCGAAAACAAGTACTTCTTGCACTTATCTAAAAGAAACACATTTAGAATTATGTCGAGCGCAGAATTTTTTCACCAATGCGGATACTTCCTTCGCCCTATAGATAATCAAAATGTCTTCACAAATGGAGACACATCACAGTATGAGCCCTGTAACGGGGTACGTGCCGCATTCGGTTACAAAAATACATCATTTTGGCAACAAATTTGCCATGCACATCACACAAAGGGACCTTTGGCCACACGACTTCGCGCTGAAAAACTCAAAGGGGATGAATTGGTGCACGCCAACAATGCTAGAAGCCAAAAGGAGTTACGACCTGCTTCCAACATTCCATAGTTCCAGGACGATCGCATATGAGTAAAGTTTTATCTACATATCCCACGACGAAATACGTACTAGTAGTAATGAATGATTTCAACACAAGTTAAGAAATCCAATTATGAAAAATTTGCCCATACAGTGGAAGAGGTGGCTTGTGCAACTTAAATTAGTGGAGTGAGATAAAGTACATATAGGAACAGTGGAGGATAAAGCTTATGCAAGCAGAACAAAACACAGTTTGTGCAAGCTTGAACTAATATCGGAAGCTGAACCGCAAGTGGCGTATCGCTCCACGCTTATAACAAGCTAAACGCTGCCACCATTCCGGCGCAAACGCCAATTTTTCTAAAAAGGATGACGTCGTTTGTAACGGGGTTACACGTACCCTGGTATCAGGGGTGTGTTTCACACGAGATGGGCATGGTGTGACTGCACCCAATTAAGGATAAGGTTCGTGGCTGGGTAGCCAGTAGTTACAGTAGCCTCCCGATTAAGTACTCATCCGTTTGAGTACGCATCTTAGATATGTACGCAATTTATTTCGGAAAAACAGTTTCAACTTTAGTCCTTGAA